GATCCTCCACAGATAGGAAAGACATTTTTCTCTGAATTATTCGTCCACGTTTCAAAGCTTTTCAAGGATTCTACTACAAGTGTTGGCAGTAAATTAGAAATAAGAGCACCGTGAGTAACCATGCCTACTTGGAATCAGATTCAGGCTCAGCTGCGAAATCCCAATAATCCAGTCGTGTTCTTCGATGTATCGGTGGGAACCACGGAGATAGGTCGCATGATCTTCGAACTATTCGAGGATGTCTGCCCAAAAACATCGGAGAACTTTCGACAGTTTTGCACCGGGGAATACAGAAAGGATGGCGTTCCTTTGGGTTTTAAAGGTGCCATCTTCCACAGAGTAATCAAGGACTTTATGATACAAGGCGGTGACTTTGTCAACGGCGATGGTACTGGAGTGTTGAGCATTTACAGCGGTGGAACATTCCCTGATGAAAACTTCACATTGAAACATGACTCACCTGGTCTATTATCTATGGCAAATAGCGGCAAGGATACCAACGGCTGTCAGTTCTTCATCACGTGTGCCAAGTGTAATTTCTTGGATGGCAAGCACGTTGTCTTTGGTAGAGTTATTGATGGCCTTCTTGTCATGAGAAAGGTAGAAAATGTTCCTACTGGGCCAAATAATAAACCAAAGATTCCTGTAACGATATCTCAATGTGGACAGATGTAGTGACAATATTATTTTGATCTTCATATGAATTGACAGTTATAATTATATGTGAATTAACTATATAATTATATTTATTTTTTTCAACAACATACAATAAAAGTAATAGTTTTATAATAGGTACAAACTGCAGTTATATATATATTTAAGGTTATAAATGTAAAACGTAAAAATAAGATCTTTTACTGATCTTAATTTTTATACTAATTGTTCAATAACCTTGCATATATTATTATGCAATATATTACTATATCTTTCATTTATATAAATAAATTTGTACATGATAAATATGTATTATATTTGAATTTCTCTTAGGCTGTTTTTACTTATATCAGAAATGAAATATTCAGAAAGAGAAAGAGAGAAAGAAGGAAAACAATGCATCATGTAATAAAATAAAAAAATCGAGTTAAATAATATTTTATTTTTACATTTAGGAAATTACAAACTTGGAAGTACTTTAACATATAAATTAGTAAAACGAAACTTATTTAACTTAAAATTTGTGCTACAATTCAGAATCTAATTTTGTTTATAATTTTATAAACTGAAAAGTTAGTGTTCTAACTACAAATACGATTAATTTAGTTATTGATACAGAATTTTATTTGAAAAATGAATATCTATAGCTAAAATTAAGTAGAGTTTGGGGACGAAAAAAAATTCAGTTATTTTAAGAACTTTAATTTTATTTTAACATCTGTACATATGAAATAAATACTTCATTCTACTTATCATGTTCGTAAAATTCTATAATGTAATTGGGTAATTCTCCTGTATTACCTTTGTACGTATCGAAATTAATTTTTATAAATCGGAGCAAGTCATCGAAGACAAACGTACATACACATTGATATATTTGTATTAAGCATCGACCTGTAAATTTATCGATCTAAATCTGTAAATCTTTCTGTTTGCAAATATGTTTATTTTCCCAAGTACTATTTCATGATTTTCTTATCTTAAGGATTATCTATAACTAAAATAAAATCTATTTTTATTGGTCGATGCGACCATCAATTATACGATGTACTCCGATCAATTATACGAATTAATGAATAACGTACACTATATCCACGTGTCTGAAAATCTAATACAATTTTACTTTATTATATAGTGTCTCAAAAGATATATCTTTTCAGTTATTATAATTTTTTTTATAATTTTGGATATTTTTTTATGAATTATATCAGACATGTTATTTTTTATGACGTATTAATTTTTAATCAATTACGACACTA